CAGGATATGAACAAATTAAAGAGAAAAAATTATTTAACAGAATGTAAACCCCCAAAACTTTATAATTTATATTTGTCTGTAGTTAGTAAAATAAGTAATTAATTAAACAATAAATATTCTAAGATGTGGATTATTTACAGCGGTGTAATGAGGAGGGTGGAAGGGAGGAGTGCCAATTTAGTGCCCCTCCACTCCCATCACCCCTCCCTCTGCCCACCACTGCTGGCTAGAGCCACCTTTCTGCCCCCAGCCTGACCCTCCACCTCTGCCAAAGTGTTAATGCATGCAGGGGCCTGGCCCCAAACTGGAAGGAGTGGGGTAAGATGTGGTACAAGCTCCCTCCCTCCCCCGGGGTCCAGCTCAGCATGCGCCAGGTTTGTGGGGGGTGGGGCACAAACTTTGCCTTCGCCCCCGGGTGCATAACACCCTCGCTATGCCTCTGCATGGCTGGCATCTTATTTAAATATAGAACCCCACTCTCTTTAATGTTCTAGGCAAACTAAGGCCATCCTTCCCCAAGCTTTCTCAGTTCAGCTATCGTTGTTTGGACATCAGAAATAGGAATCAGTCCTATTTACATCTGGACCCTGGCTTTTCATAGGCTCTGATAGAACAATGGGCAACCTAACCTAGTGAGTAGTCCATGTGAGTGGCCCTCTGTGATGTAGTGTGGGTACCTTGTTGGTTGCTAGGCTTGGGCTGTGGGTGATCCCCACTGGCTGCGGTCTGTACCACGGCCCAGCCGAGTAGCTGATAGGACCGGGAGGTAACCTGTTCTACCGGTTACTTCCCAGGGAGAGGAACAAAGGAAGGTGGAATGCCACCCCTGGCTGGGGGGCAGGGCTGGAAGGGATAGTTGTTTAGTTTCTGTCTGGGATCATGGAGGAGACAGCCTAGGGAAGGGGCTGGAATTTAGGGGCCCAGTCTCCCCCATCTCAAGGGGGGCTGAGGCATCCTAGGCCTGCCCTGTAACCAAATTACATCTGTGCTGAATCCTGGAGAATCAATAAACTCCCTCTATTCTACTGGCTGGTGGAGTCTGTTTGTGCCACTACGGGGGTGCAGGAGACAGGGAAACCCCAACGCGCCATCACACCCTCCATCTCAGGCTGCAAAATTGTGATAATCGAGATGGTTTCTGGGATAGGTTAGTTTTGCTAACTATGCTTGCATACTTAGAATGTACAGGATGTGCCAATTGAACCATAGCAGTACTTAGATTTGATGCAGAGGGAGCACAAGGCACTTACATTAAATATTGTGTGCAGTCAGCACATACCTCATTTCATGTGCCCTTGCTTTGCATATGTGTAACTTTAGTAATACCAGTAGGAAAAAAACAACACAGACAGAAACCTGTGGAATCTGGCCACCCTGAGCATGGGTAACAGTAAACAAAATGTCTCATGGACTACACATAGAACTCTTATGGGCTGCCTACCACTGCTCTGAGACAACCATGCACAAACTTCTGTGTCTTCACCTCCAACCTGTAAGTTGCTGCCTGGGGAGCGGGAATGGGAACAGGCAATTGGTTTAAGACCCCGGACTGCAAGGTTGATGAGTGAAGCACCCTGCAGCACTGAGGTTTCAGTGGGCGTGTGGTGGAGTCTATGGCCTTTTAAAACCAAGCTGCTTCTCACAAGCAGTGTGCAGGCAGCTTGGGCTCTGGCTCTAGTAGCTCACATGCCAAGGAACAAGTTGGTTAGCGTCTTTCCCAGCTTGGGCTGAGCTTTCAAGTTTAGGGATGGAGGCAGCATTTGTGGCTTACAGGAAAGCAGGGAACTGCTCCTGCTCTGCTTGCTCAGTGGCTCATAGCTAAGCCTGTAAACTTCAGCATCTTCCCCTTCTAGCTGTAAGTGGCTGCCACCAGCATGGCAAATAAAGGGAGGAGGGGACAGGCAGCATGTGGAGTACAGAATTTGCTTTTTTTTTTTTTTTCCATCTCCACTGCTGCCTCATTGCTTGCTTCCCATCTCACCTAGCATCTGTGTAACCCACACAGCGGCTATGTCTACACTATAAGGTTTTTGAGTGAAACCAGCTGTTTTTGTGCAAAAATCCGCAGAGCGTCCATACCTCAAGCATGTTTTTGTGCAAGAAAATCTACAGTCAATTGACAGAACAGAGGGCTTTTTGTGGTGTAGATATACCTCCTTCTATAAGGCATGACTCCTGTTTGCGCTACAGCTCTTGTGCAAAAAGGCATATGTGGACGCTCCGCAGGTGTTTCTTGTGCAAAAAGAGCTTAACCGAAAAAGCACAGGTGCTTTGATGGTCAGAGCTTTCTTGTGCAAGAGCGTCTGTGCAGTGTGGACACTCTCTTGCGCAAAAGCAATGCATTTTGAGGTGTGGATGCGCTTTTGTGAAAGAAGCTTTTGCACAAGAACTCTTCCGCAAAGGACTACTTGTGCAGAAAGCCTGCCGTGTAGATGTAGCCACTTAGGGTACGTCTAGAGTACAAACCTCTTTTGAAAGAGGCTTTTTCGAAAGACTCTTTGGAAAAAGCCTCTTTTGAAAGACAGCGACTAGACTACAGCCAGTACTTTTGAAAAAGTGAGTCTGGATGCTCTTTTGAAAAAGCATAGTTCACGTTCTATAACGCCTTTTTTCAAAAAAGCACTTTTAAAAAAAGGCATTCTTCCTCGTAAAATGAGGTTTTCCGTGATCGAAAAAACTGCTGTGTTCTTTAGATTTACTTTTGAAAAACCACAGCTGCAGTCTAGATGCAGGGGAAGTTTTTTGAGGCCACTTTTTTCGAAAAAACCCTGTAGTCTAGACACACCCTTAGTTCACGGTCACATGCAATGGCACCTAGACCACAGTAACAGATGAGACCTCTACAGCATGGGCTGAGAGCCAGCTAGCTTTTAGCTCAAAGGGTAAATGCTCCTACACTAAGCTTCAGAGAGCCCAGATTCAAATCTGCGTGGTGGCAGTTGTTTGACAGGACAGTCCATAACTGTGGTGTTTGTATGTTTGAGGTTCTACTGTACTCAAGGCAAGAGCTAACCTTCATGTAAATGAAAATGGTCTTGGCATGGGAAGGGATGGATTTTTAGAGTTTGTAAAGGAAGGAGCGAACAGGATTTGGTAAGAGCTGGAATGGAGGTAGGGAAGAGAAACCTCTGCTTGAGGAACGAAAATGGAGAGTTGAAAGACTAAGCTTATATCGTATCAGAGGTTTCAGGGGGTAGCCGAGTTAGTCTGTTACAGAAAAAAAAAACCCAAATGGTCTGGTAGCACTTTATAGACTAACAAAACATGTAGATGGTATCATGAGCTTTTGTGGGCACAGCCCACTTCTTCATCTGATACCATCTACATGTTTTGTTAGTCTAAAGTGCTACCAGACTATTTGTTGTCATATCAGAGGTTACCATTTAACCCCTTCCCTCCTTACCATGCGTGTGTGAACAGCAACATGTTATTGCTGACTCATCTGCAGTGCTTTACCTTTGCAGAACTGAAAACATTGCTCCCAGCTTGACCTTCATCACGCAGCAGGTCCCAGTTTCGGAGTCCTCTTCTCATGGAGCCATCCTTCCAGATATTGAGAACACCCCAGACAGTAGTGTGACCCCTTGACTCTGACCGAACAAGATGAAAGGTAATGACGGCTACTGCCTCTTCCACACCTTTTCTTCTGGGACTCTTATGTACATGGAATGATGCTACAGCTGTGAAAACGTTATTATCCCCATTTTATTGTGATGTTGATTTGGTTTCCATTTAAAACCAGTCTGAAAGGGGATTGTAAATTAATTTTATAAATATGTATTTAAGGTTTTTTCTTCTAAATAATTTTTTTTTATTCTTTACCTGGCTCAAGTTTGGTAGGTATGTAGGTAGGGTTCTCCTAGCTGCCCAGTGGAATCTGGGCTGGAGGCTGAGATTAAGATCGTGCGTGACTGCATTCTGATGGAGATTTCTTTTTGTTCTGGAGTAAAAGTGTAGTAGACTAAAGAGCATTTGGAATGAAGTGATATGTATGTGGACCCAGAAAAGATCTGGGTCCTAGCAGCAGTAAGCTTGTGTGTAAAAGGAGGTGGTGACTTGGATCCAAAAAGTTTTAGTAATAGGATCAATGGTGCAGCTGAGCCCACTAGGTCTGCCCAAGGTCTTATTTAAAAATAAACACCTGCTCCCTCAAGGTCTTATTTAAAAACAAACACCTGCCCCCTCACTCATTAAAGAAATGCATTAGCAATTTTTATTCATAATCAATTGCAGAAATGAGAATTTTCCTAAGCTATACTGGAACCTGAGAGAAAATACACAAATATTAATGGCACACCAGCAGTTGTATTAAAGTCAGGCAGCTGTCAGTTACAAAAGGCCTCTATCAGCAGGCAGAATACAAAGTGTTCACATTCAGTTCATTCAATTAGACCAATGAATCATGATTAGAATCAGCTTAAGAGCATGATTTTCCTCAGGTGCGAGAAGCAACTTTTTACAAGTCTCTCCCAGTGTACCTTCTAATTTTTTGCATCCATATGCAGAATGACTTATGTGCACCAAGGTGGAAGTGATATATCATATAACAAAAGTCATTGTGCACATGGGCAGCGTGTGGTGGGAATGGAGCCAAGGGATTGGGATAGGCCTGCTGACGAGGGGGTGGGAAGAGGAGGGCAAAGGGGACAGTTGCCCCTCAGTCTGGTGATTCAAAAAGGCCTGGAGCGCCCAGCCACAGCTAGTTCAGGAGTGGTGGTGGCTGGAGCCCTAGGCCCTTTAAATCATTGCTGGAGCACCACGGGGCACCCTAGGTAGCTCTCGGGGCAGGGAGATGTCCTGAATCCCTGCGTGGAGTTTAAGGGGAAATTGCACAGCTTAGAGGGACTGTAGATCCCTGCCCCTTATAGAAGAGTCCACGTAAAGCCAAGATAATGTCACCCTTAATCTTACTCCATCCCAGGACTTTTCCTTAACTACTCCATGGCTGCATCATGAGTTACCAGCTCAACCTCCAATCCTCCCATCAGTGCTAGGGATAGAATTTCAGACCTCCAGTTGCAAAGAAACAGATCTTTATCACACAGGCTGACAATCTCCTGGCCTGTCACTAGTATTGGGGCCTGCAGTCACTAGAAGATGTGCACACATACTTGAGCAGGTATACAGTGAATCAATGTGGGTAGTAGCAACATAAAATCAGGAGGAGTAACTAAAAGATTGGGATTGGTTGCTTTCTATGGAAGGAAACGCCTTCTTCTTACCAATTCCCCCCTAACATGGCTTGAGTAACATGAGCCTGGAGTGGTTATATACACAGGGTTGTGCTTCTGCTTCCAGATTCACACAGCATATAGGCACACTGCTGCTATCATAATAAGCATCATCCTGAAAGTTGTTTCAGATAAGAGTTGAGAACTAACAGGAGTTGTCAGGATACATAGATGATGGGGATCAGAGCGTTTCCAATCAGATAGATGGGACTCACGCTCATAGCAATCTCCTTGATCTTCAGTCAAGCCCCCCCACTAGATCTCCTTCTAAAACTCTTAAAGCAGCCAGTTCCCGAGTGTCAAGTCCTTCAAAACTATTCAGTGGGTCTGAGGTTAAACTCTTCAGAACTTCAGAGAGTCCCAAACTTGTTACCTTCTCCATAACAGAAAAGCCACTTCGCTGGCACCAGTGAGATTTCCTCCAAGTGAAGTAGAATTGGAATCTTGGGCCAGAGAAGGAAGTGGAGAAAGCTGCAGCACTGAGTCAGTGGTACTATCTAATAGAAAATGGAGCCTGTACAAGTGCAGTTTGAAGGGATGGGGAGAAGAGACCTTATACCCAGGCTTGACATTTGACCTGCCACTAAAGAGGGTTTCCTCTGGGGAGAAAAGTGAGCTCAATTAGCTGAGAACAACAGAAAAGTTAAATTGTGCATTACATAAAAAGCCTCCCTGATTTGGAAAGAGGTCTTGGGAAGACTGGGACTTTCTATTCCCAAAGAAATAGGGAACAAAAGCAGTCAGGACATAGCTGGGAAAAGTCTGTAGCACAAAAGGTGAAGAGCATCATGGATGGTACCCTGTAAAAGCTGGTTAGTTTCCCATGGTTGGCATAACTACAGCAGGCTTGGTAACTGTAGCATCTTCCTCTTTCCACTGAGATATAATGGTCTTCAGCTGTGTATAGAACTGAACCCCCTAAAGGAAATGAAACAAACAAGGGTTGACTATTTGGCCTTGGGATTCCTGCAAACTTCTCACTATACCCTCAGGGTCCAGAGATATCCAGTACCCAAGCGGCCAGTAGTTTCTCTGCCCTTCCCGTAATCCTGAGGTCTCTGCCCCAGCAATAAGTTATACTGCTCAATTCTTCCTCCATTCACAAGTCTCCACCTTAATGCCATATTGTGGTCTCTTCCCTCACCTCTACCTGGCTTCCTGTACCAGTTACAAAGAGCAGCAAAACACAATAGTTTTCCTAATTTCTTGAGTTACCTGTTTGCCATAGAAATTGGTATCGCCTCTAAAAGATGCACGTGAGCCAGTGAAGGAGAACATGGGCAGAGGCACTGGGATTGGAACATTTACACCCACCTAAATCAGAGCAAAGTTGCCACATTAATAGAAGGAACAAGTACAACACTGTAGAAATAACAGACCATCTGCTCATTTCTCTTCCCCTGATACTAGATCCAATTTCCTTAAATATGGAGTATTTAGTATGTAAAAGTAGTATATTACCTAATCAAATATTATGACACCTTAAAACAGAAATCAGAAACTGGAACTAGACGTGTGTCCCATGGATATGGCAAGCACTGATGGGAATAATTCTACTCTATACATTACCCTGTGCTACATACCTGCCCCACATCTACCAAGTGGGAGTATTTCCGAGCGGTAGCACCATTGGTGGTGAAGATTGCGGTTCCATTTCCATAGGGATTCCTGTTAACTATCTCAATTGCTTCATCGAGAGTGTCTGCTTCCAGAACCACCAGAACTGGCCCAAAGATTTCCTCCTTGTAGCAGGTCATGCTTGGCTAAGGCAAAAACAGCAGAAAGCAAAAGTCAAGCCAGGAAAATGCCACATGCCCCCCCAAACAAGAGAACACATCCTACACAAATCAAACCCTCAGAACGTTCCCATCATTCATCATCCTTCTCAATGGACATCATCTTGCATAGAATCAACTCTAAGCGACCTCAAGAGGTCATCTAGTCCAGTCCCGTGCACTCATGGCAAGACTAAGTATTATCAAGACCATCTCTGACAGGTGTTTGTCTCATCTGCTCTTAATCTCTAAGAACGGAGATTGCATATCCTCCCTGGGCAATTTATTCTGGTGCTTAACCACCCTGATGGGAAGTTTTTCTTAATGTTCAACCTAAATCAGTCTTGCTGCAATTTAGCCTAATGCATCTTGTCCTATCCTCAGAGGTTAAGGAGAGAAAAAATTTTCTTACTCTCCTTGTAACAATCTTTTATTACTTGAAAACTTATTGTGCAATCCGTTCACTTCTCCAAACTAAACAAACCCATTTTTTTCCCCACTTTTCCCTCATCTGTCTTGTATTCCAGAGCTTTAATCATTTTTGTTGCTCTTCAATGGGCTTTCTCTACTTTGTCCACATCTTTCTTAACATGACACACAGAACTGGACACAATACTCCAGTTGAGGCCTAACCAGCACAGAGTAACGTGGAAGAATGACTTTTCAGGTTTGCTTACTGCTGCTAATATGCCCCAGAATTTATGTTTTGTGAGTGGGTTTTTTTTGGCAACTGTTCACTCATCTTTAACTTGCGATCCACTATGGAACCCTTCCCACCTGATCCTTTTTGCAATGCTCCTTCCCAAGGCAGTCATTTCCCATTTTCCATGTGTGTAACTGATTACTCCTTCCTAAGTGAAATAATTTGCATTTATCCTTATTGAATTTGCATGTCCCACCGTCTCACATGCCCTGGTAGCCAACAATCACAATGCCACACCCTGTCATCTGTCACACCCAATTCCCACATTCACACCACCAAACATTAAACCATCAGTTGTTCTTGCTTTTGACACTTAGCCTTCTTGTTACCCCTGCCTGCCTGCTGTTAGGCAAGTAACACATTTACTCTTTAGCCTAATGGTTGATCAAGGAGTCCAAACTCGGATTACTTTGCTTCTGCTTCCATATCTCCTGTCTTTCCATCCCCCACCAGCCTGGTGATCTGATCACTACAACTGGCACAACTTGCCTGCCAGTCACCCCATTGCATCTTACCAGCTATCCCTCTCCCTTGCACTCTCACATTGCCCATAACTCTCCTATTGTCATTCCAAATTACCAATATTTTGTGCAGCAGCTGAAAGTTTAACAATTAAACCCCATCCACACTCCTCTAACTTCCTACCTCCCAATTTCCCAGCTTCACAGACCACTTCGCTTATCACTCTTCCATCAAGGTTTCAGGATATACCCATGGTGGAGCCTTAAACATGCTATCCTGCCCAATTAACACATGTGTGAAGTGCTCAAAATCACACACTTCAGCAGCAGTTTCCCATCTAGCCTATCATGACTGATAAGTCCACTGTGCCATTACCAAGGGTATTGGGGAAAAAACACAAGTGCCATCAATCCTTTGTATCCAGTGATCAGCCCTTGGCTAGCTCACCTGGACTTTAGCAAGGATTGTTGGTCCAACAAAGTTTCCTCTCTCATAGCCCTTCACTTTGATGTTTCGTCCATCCAGAAGGAGAGCAGCTCCTTCCTTCACTCCGCTCTCGATCAGGTGACAGACCCGCTCCTTAGCCTGAGGGCTGATCAAGGGCCCCAGATCTGCTCCTGGTTGGTCTCCTTTGAGGTACAGAAGCATGGGAAGGTTTGAATTGTGATGGGTTCATCTCCAAAGAGAAAACCAACAACTACATTCTCTGAAAAGATATAAGAATCTTAAAATTAAGTAGAATAGTGATAGAGATGCAGCCGTGTTAGTCTGGTCTAGCTGAAACAAAAGAAAGAAGTATGTAGCACTTTAAAGACTAACAAGATGGTTTATTAGGTGATGAGCTTTCATGGGCCAGACCCACTTCCTCAGATCAACATGTGGAAGAAAATCAGCACAACCATATATACCAAAGTAATACAATTAAAAAAAAAATGAACGCATGTGAAACTGACAAATTTTAGAACAGAGTGAGGGTGATGGGAGAAGGTTAGTGTCTGTGAGGTAATAACATAGGGGTGATAATAGGGGAAGCTGTCTTTGTAATGGGTGAGATAATTAGAGTCTTTGTTTAAACCCATACATAAAGTGTCAAATTTAAGCATGAATGACAATTCTGAAGCTTCTCGTTGAAGTCTGGAGTCTCTTTGAAGCAATATGCATGTTTTAAGGTCATTGAGGGAATGGTCAGTCTGGCTGAAATGGCAAGCAACAGCTTTCTCTCTATGGGAGAGTCTTACGTCACATATTCCTGTTCATCCAGAAATATAATTCATGCCATCATGTGCCTAAAGTGTCCGTCTGCTATGTACATTGGACAAAAACGTCTTAAACACTTCGCCAAAGAATCAATGCACATAAAACAGACATAGACTCTCTCAAAGAGAGAAAGCTGTTGCTTGCCATTTCAGCCAGACTGACCATTCCCTCAATGACCTTAAAACATGCATATTGCTTCAAAGAGACTCCAGACTTCAACGAGAAGCTTCAGAATTGTCATTCATGCTTAAATTTGACACTTTATATATGGGTTTAAACAAAGACTCTAATTATCTCACCCATTACAAAGTCAGCTTCCCCTATTATCACCCCTATGTCATTACCTTACAGGCACTAACCTTCTCCCCTCACCCCCACTCTGTTCTAAAATTTGATTTGTCAGTTTCACATGCGTTCATTTCTTTTTAATTGTATTACTTTGGTATATATGGTTGTGCTGATTTTCTTCCACATATTGATCTCAGAAAGTGGGTCTAGCCCACGAAAGCTCATCACCTAATAAACCATCTTGTTAGCCTTTAAAGTGCTACATACTTCTGTCTTTTGTTAAAATTAAGTAGAAGAGGAACACAGAGGTCAAACACACAAAACCAAGTCCCATAAACTCCAGTCTCATAGAGGAGCCCAAGCTCCAAACCAACAGAACTAAAGGCCCTGTGCTTCCAAAAAAGGAGACATTAGTCCCCAGCCCTTGATCTGTTGAGGTCTCTAATTTTGAAGTTATTGAAAGATTTACAAAAGCTTTCTTGAGCCAGAGTGAGAAAAAAGTAACCTAAGGTCATCTTGGTCTTTGTATGCTTAATATGATAGACGCTAAAACAAGCATGAGATGGAATCAAGGTGAACTGAGTTAGTTTAGTCTGCAATATTGCCAATTGCAAGGGGATTAAAAATCATGAGCCAGATTCTGAAAAATAATTAAATAAGCCCCAGAAACTTTGAGACTTTAAAAAAAAAATCAGGAAGCCCTTCTGTTTTTAGCCTGTCTTGACTTTTTAACTCACCTGTACTCTGGTGTGTGTGTGTTCCACAAACATATTTTAGGAAAATTAGAATGGAAAAGATGCAAAATTATTAAGATTTTGTTTTAGGTAAGCTAGTCCTAAATAGCAAGAGACTTATTTCAGTATAACTATAATGGTTCTGTTAATGATGTCACATTAATAGGATGATTGTCTCAACAGTATCTCTTCAGAAATGGAAAATGGAGTGAAGGGAAGACATCTATGCTGGCAGAAAAGAAGGGGGAATATGTATGTTAAATTCTTGTACAGACCAAACAATATAACTCAATATAATGTGATAAAAGTATAAAATATGGACAAACCTCATTCACACAGTTAAAAATATGCTGTACAAAGCCTATAAATGGAGCTGTAATATGAACATCCATGAAATGCAAAGCAATCTATGTATGAAGTTCTTCAATTTTTTTTTCCAATAAAAATGTATGACAGGGAAAGATCTTTACATCAGCTACCTTTGTTTATTTCTTTGTTGTTTACATCAACTACAAAATCTATCAGCAGACTGACTTACCTCCCTACAAAGAGAGGCTTCCATCTGAATGGCTTTACTGAATGCAAATGAAAGGGGAACTTTCCTAGAATAAAAGGCTATGTCTACACTGCACGCTTCTTGCGCAAGAACTATTTTGCACAAAAGGTACTGTGCAAAAGTACTTGCGCAAGAGAGCATCCACACTGGTCACAGCGCATCGTAAGAGCCATGCGCTTTTGCGCAAGAGTGTGTCCCCACTAGCAGGACGCTGTTGCACAAAAGCTTCAGCCCGGAACTATTTTGCAGAGGGCAAAAGGGCACCAGGACTTTCCAGGGGCAGGGGCTAGAGCTCCTTTAAGACACGTGATTAAAGGGATCCCTGGACAGCTGTTTCTCACGTGCTTTGGGACCTCTTGCAGGGACTGACAGCTGTAGCAATTCTAGTTGTGGTTTCCCTCAGCCTCTTTGGATACCACAGCTTCTGCCCTAGTGCCTTTGGAATCATCACTGCTGTGCCATTGAGCCAGGGATGGCCCTATTCCTGCTCTGGCCCCACATGGCCATTTTGGAGTGCCTGCAGCTGCTGCTCCATGCTACTGCGCTACCCTGCAGGAGCTCGAGTCCGAGCTTGAGCTGGACTCCCTCTCCATGGATGTGGTGGCGTCCCTGGGGCATCCTTACCCTACCGTGGAGAGGCGATATTGGAGACTGGACACCAGTACTGACTGGTGGGACTGGCTGGTCCAGGAGCAATGGGACTACCAGCAGTGGCTCTGGAACTTCAGAATGCGAAAGCAGACGTTCCTGGAGCTGTGTGCCTGGCTCACCCCTGCCCTCCAGAGACCTACCACGTGGCTGCGGGCTGCCATCCTGGTCAACAAAAGGGTTGCCATTGCCCTCTGGAAGCTGGCCACCCCGGAGAGCTACCACTCGGTGGGACACCAGTTCAGGGTGCGCAAGTCCACTGTCAGTGCCGTCGTGATGCAGGTAAGTCCTGAGGGAGTGCTGCACTCTGCCCAAGTGAAGGGAAGACTCCAGGCTGGGGGAGTGGGGAGAGTGGGGGATGCCTCGTCACCAGGGGTTTGTGCCATCCCTCCCTCACATAGGTCTTTTGGTATGGGGGGGAGCCTGTGAGGTGAGGGGACCCTGGTGCTTTTGGGGACAGAGGGCAGATGAGGGGGCCCTGGTGTGTGTGTGTGAGGACAGAGGGCATCACGGGGGGGCCCCCCAAGGGAGCACGCACTCACCCTGCCTTATGTGATGTGTTCCCCTGTGTTTCTCTGCACCCTTCTGCAGGTCGTCCATGCCATCAGTGACGTCCTGCTCCAGAGAGTCATCCACCTGCGTGACTTGGAGGCTGCGGTGGCCGGCTTCGCTGCCCTGGAGTTCCCCAACTGCAGGGGAGCCCTGGATGCAACCCACATCCCCGTCCGTGCCCTGGAGCATCGAGAGGCCCATTTTATTAACCGGAATGAGTACTTCTCCATCGTACTCCAGGCCCTTGTGGACCACTGTGGCAGCTTCACAGACATTTATGTGGGGTGGTCCGGCAGGGCACATGATGCCCACATCCTGAAACCCCAGCCTGTTTTTAAGGCTGGAGGGGGGCGCGTTCTCTCAC